AGGGAGGCGGGGCCCTGGGACTGTGTGTTTCCCCAGCCCAGACTCTGAGGACCAGGCTCCAGTTCCTTAGATCGCCCTCCCCAGCCCCAGGCGGGGCCTTGTCCCCCCCAGGTCTGTCAGCCCAAGCCCCAGGGTGTTGGCCTGGCCCCTCATTGCCCCTCCCCGCCAGGTGCTGGAGGACAACGACTATGGCCGGGCCGTGGACTGGTGGGGGCTGGGCGTGGTCATGTACGAGATGATGTGCGGCCGCCTGCCCTTCTACAACCAGGACCACGAGCGCCTCTTCGAACTCATCCTCATGGAGGAGATCCGCTTCCCACGCACGCTCAGCCCCGAGGCCAAGTCCCTGCTTGCTGGGCTGCTTAAGAAGGACCCCAAGCAGAGGTGAGGGCCGACACCTGCCCTGCCCTGCCCTGTGCTGCCTGCTGCCACTGTCCCTGCGGCCCGGAGGAGCAGCGTCCACAGGCACCCCTGCCAGTGGACGTAGTATACAGTCCCCACGCAGCCTCTGCTAGGGCCCACAGCTGGCACTTAGGGAGCGCTTAACAGGGGCACTGAGGAACAGGGCAGCCCTGCCCTGGCCTGGCGTGGCACAGTCATCTGTGGCAGAGCCAGGATGTGAGGTGGCCACCAGCCCTCTCAGTCCGCGTTGTGGGCTAGGGGCCAGGTTGCGGGCTCCCAGCCCTGGCCCTGGGCGCTGAGCTCCCTCCCTGCCTCACTCTTCCCTGTGAGTGTTGGTCTGCGGCCAGGACAGGGCACTGAAGGTTGTTCAGGGCATGCACGTCAGGCCCAGGCCTGCACTGAGAGTGTCTCCTGAACTGGCTGCCCCGGGAGGCGGGTGCTCACGGCCATCTCTGCCCAGGCTCGGCGGGGGGCCCAGTGATGCCAAGGAGGTCATGGAGCACAGGTTCTTCCTCAGCATCAACTGGCAGGACGTGGTACAGAAGAAGGTGAGTGCCACCACCCACCTGCTCCCAGGAGGAGCCTGGCCCCTGGTGGGTGACCTTGGCCAAAGCCTCCTGTTCTCAGGGTCCTGAGCCTGGGTTCCTCTCCTTCACAGCTCCCGCCGCCCTTCAAACCTCAGGTCACGTCTGAGGTTGACACAAGGTACTTCGACGACGAGTTCACTGCCCAGTCCATCACCATCACACCCCCGGACCGCTGTGAGTGTCTGAGGACCTGAACCCCATGGGCCTGGTGGGCATGGAAGGGGTCTGCCCCTGACCCAGTTAAGCTTGCAGGGGTTTTGCTGTTAGTCATCTGTGGACCGACCCAGTGATGGTCACCAAAAGCCATTGGGTATAGCATAGTCCAGTGCCGCAGACAAAAGTCTGGGCAGGAGACACTTGGGGAGTTGCCAGTGCTGAGGTGACAGATCCATGGTTGTAGTCCCCACCCGCCTGGGTCTCTGGAGCTGGGTTAGTTCATTGACTGTAGCTGTTTACCCACCCGCCAGTGCCGGGCTGTGCTGGAGACAGCAGCGATGGAGGCAGTCCTGGGCCCTGCTCTCAGGGAGCTCCCAGTCCAGGTGGGGGGACAGCCCAGAGCAGTCAGGGCTAGGTATACGACAGGCACTGGGGAATCCCAGAGGAAATGCCTGACTGGGCTTGCAGGTCAGGGAGAGCTTCCTGGAGGAGGGGGGAGCATGGAGACGTGGCAGCTGAGACAGTCCTGGCAAAAAGAATGGCATGTGGAGGGGAGAGGGCAGGAAGGAGTGGGGAGGTGCTCTGTGGGGAGCCAGGGGAGGGTTCTGTGCACAGGAGGGACAGGGTCCCTGTCCCAAGGGTCTTTAGAAAGACCCTTGGCTGTGTGTGGAGGAAAGATGGTTGGGGGTAGGAGTGGTGGCCAGGGAGGCCAGGAATGGGGCCAGAGGGATCTGGTTCCCCTCTGCCACCCCCACCCCGGGAGTCTGGGCAGGGTGCTGGGCCCTCTGCAGTCCTGCTCTCCCCAATCCACCTCCACTGGCCCCTGCAGATGACAGCTTGGGCTCGCTCGACCTGGACCAGCGGACTCACTTCCCCCAGTTCTCCTACTCAGCCAGCATCCGAGAGTGAGCAGCGATGCCCACACGCCCGCTGCCGCTACCACGGGACACTCATGGCTGCCATCACCGCCCGGGGGGACTTTGTCCTTTTTTTTTTTAACTGTTTATTTTGCCTTTTTTGTTTGCATCTCCTTCCCTTATCCCTGCAACCCCATTTCCAGTTTTTTTCTTCAGTCCTCTGCCAAACTCCCCTCAGCGGACCCAGCGGCCCTGCTGCCAGAGTCCTGGCCTGCTCTCACCTTCGTGCCCAGATCAGGACTGGGGAGACTCCCTGGCCTGCCCCAGGACCAGGCCTTTGGGCAGTTGGGAAGATTTTGGTTTTTAATCAACAAGCCCCAGTGGGGAGCAAAGGTGGAGTCGGGGGCCTGCCTGAATTTCTAGCCAGGTGCCCACAGCTACCTGCCTCTGCACTGTGCCACCCCCAGAGAGTGGACAGCACCTGGGGTTCCTTCCATGCCTGTCATCAGGCTCCAAGTGGCCTGGCAAGGGGACAGTCCAGCCCCCTCCTCACACAGGGGCAGAAAAGCAATAATGTACAGGGCCAGGCGGGGCCGTGGGAGCTGTGGGAGCAGAGGTTAGAGCTCCCTCGAGAAGCTGGGGTCAGTTACCTGGTGGGGAACCTGGAGGGGCCAAGGGATAGGTACTGCCTTCCTGTGCCCCATGCTGCTCTCCTTACCCTGTGGATGAGGCAGGAGGAACATTTCTGGGGCTAGCCTCCCTGCCCCCCAGCCCGGTGCCTTACCAGGGCTTCCTTCCAGCTGGCCATACCACCCGCTGGGCACTGGGCCCTGGGCCTGGCCCTGGTCCCCCCCAGGATGGGGGCTGGGATCGCCCCTTCTCTCTGCCTGGGGCCAAGGGGCCCCAGCCTCGGCTGTTACACATCTTGCACCGAGACAGTGTTGGGCCCTGAGGACTTGGGTTGAGGAGGGGGTGCGGAAGGGTGTCTGGTACATACTGGGGTGGGGACCTCTGCAAAGAGAGGCTTCAGGCCACCACCCCCTCTTTCCCAGCCCCATGTTCTGCAGCCTTAAGGTGAGTGTGTCAGTGCTGTGGGCACTCGAGTGCGTGTGTGCCTTGGACTGTGTGTGAGCGTCCTTGTGCGTCTGACACAGATGCGCCAGGTTATGTGTGTGTATGTACGTGTGTTGGGTATGTGTGTGGGGGGTCATGTCCAGGCCTCATGTGTGTGGTGTGTGTGTGGTGTGTGTGTGGGCTTGGGCCCCTGGCCCTGACCCTAGCCTTTCATCCCCGGGGGAGGGGTGCTGGCCTAGCCAGGGAGCCACACCTGAGGTCCACTTGCTGCCTGTTCCCCCACCCTCCCCACCAACATCTCTGGGTATTTGGAATGTAGTTTTTGTGGTTTTGATAGCCCCACCCCCCTCCTGTAGATAGTTCACAGAGAGACAGCTGGGGTGGGGTGGGCTAGGGTGGGGTTGGTTTGGGGAGGGTGGGAGATCTCTTCCTTTTTGTGTGTGTATGTCATTTATCTGATAGTTCTCTTCCCAACCAGCCCTTCCCCGTTCCTCATATTTGTACGGTACAAGCAATAAAGACTCATTTCAGACCAGGCCCACCACCCAGGGCCTTTCCTTGCTTATGGAGTCCAGCCCCAGGTACAGGTACCCGCCACCTCCTGGTCCCGTTGCTCTGTTAGGTAGGGCCTTTCAAGCCGTTGAGGCCGAGAAGCCTTCTTAGGTGGCGGTGTTGTCAAGCTCAGGCTAGAGAAGGGGGGTGCCTGGGGGTGGAAGCTGCTGAAGCATTTGGGAAACTCCCCGGGCCTGCATTGGGGGTGGACTCAGTGGACAGAGACCATCCCAGGCCCTCAGAAGCTGCTTAGGTAAAAGGGGTGCAGTGGAGGGTCAGGGGTGGCGGGGTTGGGTGGCAGGGTGGGGGTGTGAGGGTAAGCGCATTCATTTTCCATGGTGTTTGAGCCCTAGAGCAGGCATTGCCTGCTCACCCCCCTCCCCCCATTTATGCTAAACTGGGGAGCGCCCCCATACCCATACAGATTTCTTGGTGTGTCAGTGGGATTTGTGGCTGTCAGCTGGGAACACCTCAGGTTGGGTCACAGCCTTCACAGCTCTGGGAGCCCTCTGGCAGGCTGTTCCCTTGCTTGAATTACTCCTCCCGGACCTGGGGAGCCGGGTTGCTGCTGCACATCAGTGCATTTAGTACCCAATTTTGCCAGAAGCCAAGGCATGGAGTTTTTGAGATCTTCAGTGATGGTAGCAGAGAAGTTGAATCCAGTTCATAAACACCTGTGTTACCTGCAGCCAAGACTTAAGGAATTCTGATTTTTTCCCTAATTTTATGTGGACATTATTATTTCTTAATTACGAAAGTAGGTTCTGGTTATAATCAGAAAAACAGCAGAGAGGTCTGTAAAGGAAAGCCTTTCACTCTCGCCTCTAGGTGCAGCCCACAGGCTGTGGCCCGAGTTCCTGATGGGCTCCTGCAGGTGAGCCACCTGCTTCCCCGTCGGACGCTATGTCCGTCTTGCAGTGGTGACTCTTACTTCTGTTGAACTTTTCCCAGACAGAGTTTTAGGTGGAAGAGTTTTAATAAATTTTACCAATTAAAAAATTTTCGAGTGATCTGTTTTTTGTCAAGTGAACGTGGAAAATGTCACAAGGGGTGTGCGTGTGCATGTGTATGTGCATTTAAAGAGTAATGCAAGCAAAAACATGCACAAGAAAGTAAGTCACCCAGCTCCCAGGCTGAGGGCGCTGATTTTGTCACTCACGTTTCTGCTCTGCAAAGGGATGCAGCGGCATTAGAAGGCCGGTGCCTCCTTTTTCCGCACAGCTCTTCCCTCCCACGTAATGGTGCCAAGCGCCTGGGCGCTCTGTGGCCATGTCTTACCCACACTTCTGCCATCCTGCGTGCTTTCAGAAGGTGTGCGCACTCATTGCTAAAAAAGATCCTCTTTTAGCCACTGTGCTTTGGGGAACGCCTCATGGACATGGCTGTCATGCTTTCCAGCTGCTCCAAGGTTGGGGTCAGCGGTGCCAGTCACGTAGGCCGTACGTGTCTGATTCGATGCACTTACAGTGGCACTTGATTTCTGTGGCCTTCCTCCCCAGAACGTCCCCCCAGTCAAAGGAAGAACACAGACAAGGCAAACCCCAGCTGAAGGATGTTCTACGAAATACTGGCCTGTGAATTCTCAAAGCTGTCAAGGTTGCTCAAAACTAGAAAAGCCTGAGAAAGTACGTTACAGCCAGGAAGAATCTTAGGAGATGAGAAGGCTGAGTAGTGTGTCCTGAATGGGGTCCTGGGTTAGAGAAGGCATCAGGTAAAAAGGAAATCTGAGTAAAGCACGGACCTGAATTTCTTTTGGCTCACGAAACTGACACATCGTCACACCACACTAGTGTGTAAGGTGCAAGTGGAGGAAATTGGGTGGGTGGCACATGAGCACTCTGTACTATCTCTGCCACTTTTCATCTACATTTTTTATTTTAAAAAGCACAAATAATTCTCATCTCCCCTTCAGGCATGTTCCTCGTGATGTTTTACATTTACTTTATTCCCTCCCCTCTCCCTATTTATCTGTCGGTGCTATAATGAGAACAGTCTCTTACTGAACCACAGTCCAGTGATCAAGGTCAGGAAGTTAACACTGAAACAGATCTGCTCTTCCCAGACGATCAGATTTTATAATGGTCACACCAGCATCCTTATGGACAGAAGAAAAAACTTCCTGGCTAGCCATTCAGCCCAGGCTCACTGCTGAGCTCAGTTGTTGGGTTTGAAGCTTACAGGGCAGTTATTTAGCAGAATGCCCCTCAGGTATTGTCTGATGTTTCCTTGTGGCTGTAGTCAAGCTATTTTTGGCAGAAATTCCCAGAAACGATGTGCCCTCAGTTCAGCTTACCGGGAGGATCCCAAACATCCCCTTGGCGGTGGTGACTGGTCCCTTGGTTGAAGGGGTGTCTATCAGGCCTCCACCGTGAGTCACTCTTCAGAGTTAGGATCTTGAGTAGAGGTGCTCAGAGAATGTAAACACCCAGGTTCTCACCTAGTGCTTGTGGAAAGGGGCAGCAAGTGCAAAGGCCTTGAGCCAGACAGGTGCCGGATGTGCTTAGGGACAATGAAGAGGACAAGGTGTCTCGAGTGGAGTGAGGGTGGGGGGGAGAGGAAGGAAATGAGGTTAGAGGGGCAACAGTGGGCCAATGGGACCTTGTGGTAAGGAGTTTGGTTTTACTGTAAGTGCGACAGGAAGCCACTGGTCCAGCATCTCACACTGCTCACTTCGCCAGTCTCACTGACCTCTCGGTGTCTGAAATAGCCAGCTCTTTCCTGCCCCAGGGCCTTCGCTCAGTCAGCCTGTTCCCGTCACTTGGGATATTCTCCCTTGTCTTTGCTTTCCTGGCTCCTCCTCTCTCAGGTTTCAGCTGCAGCATCACCTCAGAGACGTCCTTTGAGACCACTATATCTAAATTACAAAACCAGCCTTCCACTTCTTCACTCGAATATTTACTTGAGTACTATGTGCCCAGCCCTGTTCTAGGCACTGGGGGTACAGCAACCAAAAACTGGCAGACAAGCCCTGCCCTAGTGGGGTTGACATTCCAGTCGGGAGGGAGACAACGGGCAGCTGAGGACTAAGGAGAGAGTAATCGCAGAGCGTGGGACAGACAGGAAGTGCTCAGGATGGCTCGTCTCACAGGGAGGGTAATATCCGAGTAAACACCTTAAAGGGAGGGCTCTCTGAGGAGCATTTCAGGCCCTGAGGTAGGAGCATGCCTGGTGGGGGTGAGGAGGAACCCTGGCGGCCAGTGCTGTGAGAGGGGAAGGGGTGGGGAAGACTGGGAGAGGAGATGGCTCACGGGGGTGTTTTCGCGGGGGGGGGGGCGTCGGGGTGGGAAGGTAATACACATCCTTGTGGACTTGCACTTTGTGGGGGTTGGCAGCCACGGTGTTCTGAGCAGAGGCCAAGTGCGATCTGACTTACTAGGTGTGCACAGGATCCCTCCTGGGAGTATGTGGGGAACAGACAGTAGGGCAGGGGTCCCCAGTCCCCCGGTGGCAGACCGGTACGGGTCGTGGCCTGTTAGGAGTCAGGCCGCAGAGCAGGAGGTGAGCGCGGGCAAGCGAGCAAAACTTCGCTCCCGTTAGCGCCTGAGCTCCGCCTCCTGTCCCCAACTCCCTCCCCCCGGACCGTGGAAAAATGGTCTTCCACGAAACCGGTCCAGGGTGTCAAAAAGGCTGGGGACCACTGCTGTAGCGGATGGGAACAGGGGGACCAGTGGGGAGCCGCTGCACTCCAGACACGTCCAAGCGCTGGTGCCTTGGCCGCATTACCGGCGCAGCTCTGGGCCTAAAGGCAGCAGCCACAGGGGATTTGCTCACCCCCAAATTCCCACTGCACAGAACACAGAGGCCTTTAAGTTATGAAATGACTTGTAGCTTCTACGACCTGAGCTTAGACTGTGTTAAGCCCTGTGCTGGCCACTTAAACACAATCTTGTAAAATCCTCAGGACTACTCTATCAGCTAGGTTTTGAAATAAATTCCCTCTGCAGAGCTGAGGGACATGAGGCCCCGAAGGGCTGCTTCTCGTCACGTAGTAAGTAGCAGGACGAGGGGGTGGAGTCCAGCTGCCTGACCTGAGGGTCTGGACAGGGCAGAGCCGGCCTTGTAAGTACTCTCGTGCCCGCGCACCTGCCCATCTGCCCAGGTGAGTCATGCTCAGCGCGCATGCGCCCAGGCTCTTTTAAAGTGCCGTTCGCCGAGTCCTGGCTCCAGCGGAAGAGGTGGGCTCTCGGTTTTGACCCCAACGCCAGCTTGAAGGATGCTGGTGAGCTGCAGGAGCCGGGGTCTCACTCTCGGCTCCTCCAGGTTCTGACTCCGGCCCCTCTCCCCAGCAGATTCCGGCAGTCTCCCTCGACTCAAGGCCTGCGAGCGCCCCAGTCCCCGACGACGTCCCTGCGAGCAAGAGCGCCTCCCCAAGACCCCTGGAAAGGCCCCCGGGGCCGTGCACACCGCCGGGGCTGGAGGAGGCGCTGAGCGCTCTGGGGCTGCATGGAGAACGCGAGTACGCTGGGGACATCTTTGCGGAGGTCATGGTGAGGGCCCCCCCCCGCCCCCCGGAGAGATCCCCTGAGGGTAGCAGAGGGGGGCAAGTTGGCTGAGGCCAGGGCTTCCCTGCTCACCCAGAGCCAGCCCCACGGGCATTTCGGAACTCCTTCCCCGTCAGCCTCAGCCCTGCTCCAAGTTTATGGGTTGGTTTTTCCTGCAGTTACCCTTGAATGCCCTTTCCCACCCTCCCAGGCTGTTTGCAGCCCCCCCCCCCTTTGGTATATCAGAGCCCCTCATACTTGTCTCTCACATTTATTCGTTTAACAAATATTTAGCGAATTATCAACAATGTTTTCCCCCCTGTCCTCCCTGCACCTTAAAAGATTTATAGAGTGTCCAAGTAAACTTAACAAACGTTTTTGAGCATGCCCTAGGCATTGGGGATGCTGTGATGAACAATACAGGCAGTCTGAATTCATTGTGGAAGACAAGCAAGCAAATGCAGCTGACAACTTCATAAGGGCCATAAAGACCAAAACACAGGCAGTGGGAGTCCTCAGACATCTGTCTGAGACAGGTGCTGTCGGAAGAAACACTCAAGCAACGAATTTATTTAACACACATTCTTGCAAACATCTCTCCTGGGCCAGGATCTCTGTTAGGAACTGAGATACAGCTGGGATTTGGACAGAAATCCCTGCCCTTCTGGCACTGGGAGCCTAGTGGGTCAGACAGACAAAACACAAGGAAACTCGAGCTATCTCCAGACTGGAAATGCTTTGAGGGATAGGGAGGAGTATGGGAAAAGTGCAGGAAATTTTAGCTGAGACTTGAATGACAGAAGTCAGCAATGCGAGGAGCAGGGGATGGACCATTTCAGGTGCAGGGAACAGTACATATATGCATGCGCAGGCCCTGAGGTAGGGATAAGCTTGGCAGAGCCCAGGGCCCAAAGAAGGCTGAGGCAGCTGGAGTGTGGGGAGAGGAAGGAGGTGATGTGGGAGCAGGAGCAGGGCCTAAGAGAGTCTGAGAGGAATCAGATTTTCTCCTGAGGGTACCGGAAGCCTCACAAGTGTTTTAAGCTGGGGAGTTCCAAAGGTTTGTGCTTTAGAGAGACCCTTCAGGGTGCTCTGAGGAGGATGAATTGAGAAGTGGTGGGAACCCAGGGGGAGATGCTCAGGAGGCCCTGTGGCCATGGGGGCTGCAGGCCGGACAGGTGGATAGGGAAACATCCAGAAGAGAGTAGTCTTGGGATCTGGATGGTTACACGGAGGCCAGTTTGGGTGTGGCATCGTGCCTCCTCCAAGTGGGGCGATGAGGCTGCCTCACCCAGGGCTGGAGTTCAGGAGAGAGGCTGATGCACAGGTGTGGAGAGTGAGGCACTCCCTACCTAACCCCAGGTGTGCCGCGTGCTGCCCCAGAGGGCCCTGCCCTGCACTGTGACCCCGGAGATGCGAGCGCTAGTGGTGGACTGGCTGGTCCAGGTGCACGTACGTACGTACCGGGAATGGGGCGGGGCTGGGCCTGCATCGAAGCCTGGTTGTCACTTATGCCCCTCCCTAGGAGTACCTGGGTCTGGCGGGGGACACGCTCTACCTGGCTGTGCACCTGCTCGATTCCTACCTGCGGTCAGGCCGGGTGCGCCTCCACCGCCTTCAGTTGCTGGGCATGGCCTGCCTGTTCCTAGCTTGCAAAATGGAAGAGTGTGTGCTTCCCGAGGTACTTCCGGGGTGGGGCTGGGAGGGTGGACCCCTTTCTACTCGTTGCAGTCACAGGTCAAACGTCTACTTTGTGCCAAGCATCGCGCCCAGTGAACACTTCTTGTCTTGGAATCCCAGCAGATCCGATGAGGTCGGGGCTGGCAGTGTGGCCCTTTAACATTGGAGGAGACTGAAGCCCAGAGAGAGGAAGACATCTGCCCAAAGTCAAGCAGTTGGGACTTGGACTCAGTAATATAGTTACAGTAGTTATAGTCCTTGTTGAGAAGTTACAGTTAACATGGGTAAACTCAGTGCATTTTCAGAACTGTCTAGTGAAGTAGGAGCAATATCTCTGTTTTACAGATAAAGAAACCGGGTCTCAGAGCACTTCCGTGAAGGTCCATGTCACACAGTGAGAAGTGCTAGGGTTTCTGACTGCAGTCTGTGTTTTCCACGAGTTCTAGACAACAAATCAATGGCCCCATTTTACAGAACAGAAAACGGAGGTCCAGGATGGGGACAGAACTGAACTCAAGGCAGGGAATAACAGCCAGAGTCCAAGACTACCCCCTCCTCTTTTTCCCAAATCCACAGCCTGCCTCCCTCTGCCTCCTGGGTGCTGGCTCCTTCTCCCAGGTCGAGCTTTTGCGAGCTGAGCGCCGCATTCTGAGCCGCTTGGATTTTCGGCTGCACCACCCAGGCCCACTCCTCTGCCTGGAGCTACTGGGTGCGCTGGCAGGGAGCAACCCCCAGGTGAGGTGGAGATGGGGGGAGCTGGGGGGGCTTGTGCGGCTAGGGGGGTGATCTCTGCGGTGTAGAGATGTGGCCTGATGGCCTCCCCCATGTTTGGCAGGTGATGCTACTTGCCACCTACTTCCTGGAGCTGTCTCTGCTGGAGGCTGAGGCAGCTGGGTGGGAGCCTGGTCGCTGCGCAGCTGCTGCACTGAGTCTGGCGCACCGTGTGCTCGACGGGGTGGGCTCTGGCTCTGGACCAGAGCTGGCGCTTTATAGGTACGGCCACAGGGGAGGGTGATGGCTTCAGGATCTGCCTTCCTGGAAGTTGTCTTTACTGTCTCAGAGAGTGAGAAACAATGGGGGTGGGGCAGGAAGGGGACAATGACGCCTAGACTTGATTTTTCTGGGTGTGAGAGAGAATGGGGTTTCTGCCTAGCTGGAGGGGGTCCCATTTGCTTTTCTCTGAAAGTGTCTGAGAGTGGGGTATTTGCCCAGATTCGGGGACCCTTAATCTTCTTCAGGGTGGAATACAGGAACTCCCCAGGCCCAGAAGATGCTTTGACTGCGTTCCAGGGTTGAGAATGAGAGGTCTGCCAGGCTAGGGTTCCCCAGCTTCCCTCTAACCACAAATGGGATGCCCCTTTGCCTGCTAGAATGCCCACTTCCTTGTTAACCAAGCCACCAAGGAACAGGGTGAATTGTCTTTGATCCCAACCTGTGCCCAAGGGGTAGAGTTGGATGCCAGCTCATCCTCAGCCCTATTCCTTTCCTCCTCGAGAGCTCAGGCTCTCCCTAACCACGCCCTTCAGAGAGAATCGGGAGTCTACCTGTCTCCGGTCCCCTCCAGCCACTCTCTGGATGGTGGATCGCGTGTTTGACCTACCCCTCCCCCGGGCGGTTTCCGGCGACTCAAGTCAGTGTCTCTTCTCGACCTCGAGCCCCCAGCTCCAACTACGGGTCATCTCCACCACTACCCCTTGCGTCCACCTTAGTTTCCCCATCTCCCCGCCGCAGCCCCTCGGAGCTGGGCCCGCTGGAGCTATGCATGGTCCGTGCCGCGCTCCGAGGTCCCGCGCCAGGCTGTGCTGCCATCTTCCTCAAGTATGCTCGGCCTCAACGTCAGGGTACCAGCCTCGCTGCCGCCCGCCTGCTCCGCTACATCCAGCCCCGGCTGTCCTGAGTCCTGAGAACCCAGCAAAAAAGATTCCGTGTATTATGTCTGTCTCCCACTTCAATAAAAGAGTTTCTTTTATTCCGAGCGCTCTCTGTCCTCATTGGTCGAGTTACGGTCCCACTCTCGCTTTTTATTGGTTACTTTCTGGTCATCCTTCTGATTGGCTGTTTTTACCAAGTCCCTTAATGTTGCAAACTACCGACTCCTCCGCTAGGGGCACTGGCTGGCTTCCGCAAGCGCGGCTCCGCTGGGTCAAACTGGGACCCCCAAACGCAAACACTTGCGGGAGCTAGATGGACAGAAGCTGACAGAAAAATTGAAATGCAGTTGGCCCTCACTCTCAGAGTTGGGGAGAATCTGGGAGGGATGGGGACTGTGGGAAACTGAGAATGTCCGCTTCAGTCATGAAGGCAACTTCGATCTTGCCAGATTTTCGGATTTTGCTCAGGTGACCCTGAAAACCTGCAATTCCATAAATATCTCTGCTTCCATATTTTGGCAACTAATTCAATGTTTTTAAATGGTTGCATAAGCCCAACATATCACATATCCTGGCCTGCACCAGTGTGTGACATTACGGGTCTTTGATAGCAAGAGTTTGATAAATGAGATCTGATTTATTTCATCTCATTGCATTGTAATAAGGTTGTAAATTAATAGATTCACAATGTTTTAGGACATGGCCTGACACCTAGCAGGTGTTTCAAAAGTGACATCATTGCATCCTAGCAGGGTTGTGAGTTAGGGACAGTGGTCTCTTCGTTTCTACCGAGTCCCTAGCACCTAGCCATTTAGTAGGTGCTCAGAAAAATTTTTAATGAATTAATGAATCTCCATGTTTTTTAAAAAGATTTCTTTTTAGACAGAGGGGGAGGGAGGGAAAAGGGGAGAGAAACATCAATGTGTGGTTGCCCCTCGAGCACCTCCTACTGGGGACCTGGTCTGCAAGCCAGGCATGTGCTCTGACTGGGAAATGAACCACCAATTCTTTGCTTTAGCAGCCTGAAGCTCAATCCACTGAGCCACACCAGCCAGGGTAAATATCCACATTTTTAACTAAAAACACACCTGAGATGCAGAAAGGTGACCTCACTGCTCTGGAATTCATCCCCAGGAATATTAGATTCTTAACCAAGCCAGGGTTTGGATGTGCAGGGAGGAGGAGTTTCTGTTCTAGGATGTTCAAGGTTGTAGGGCTAGGAATGGGGAGAGCTTTCCTCAGCAAAGTACAATAAGAGATAAAATCAGATACTGCTGTTGGAATGGAAGGTGCCCTGTTCGGGATTGGGACTGTCAGGTGGGGGCTACCATGGGACCTCCCTGGGGGGATGTGCAGTGGGAGGGAGAGGGGACAGGGGCAATACAAGCGTAGTTCTTGGGGCTAAGAGCCAAGCTAGGGTCTTGTGGGGGTGGGGGTGGTAATATATAAAGTGATTCATTCATTCACTCATTCAACAACCATATAGGGATGCTGACTCAGAACTCAGTACTATGATTACCTCTCTCACAGTCTCAATGATGATAAGAAACACGGGTTGTTAATTGCCCAGTATGTACCAGGCCCTGTGCTAAGTTCTTTTTTATTTTTAAGATTTTGTTTATTTTTAGAGAGAGGGGAAGGGAAGGAGAAAGAGAGGGAGAGAAACATCAATGTGTGGTTGCCTCTCGCACACCCCCTGCTGGGGACCTGGTCCATAACCCAGGCATGTGCCCTGACTGGGATTCGAACCTGTGACCCTTTGGTTTGCAGACCAGTGCTCAATACACTGAACCACACTGACCAGGGCTCTGTGCTAAGTTCTTTATCTGCAGAACATAATCCAGTCCCTATGACTACTCTGAAGTAAACTCACTTGTTATCCCCATGTTACACAGAAGGCAGACAAGATGGAGGCATATCAAGGAGCTTGCCCAAGGTTCCACTGCTAAGTGAGTAGCTAAGAAGGGTCGACAGACAGCCACCTCCTTCAGCCTCATTTCCCCCAAAGCCTCTCACATGTGTTCTTTTCTGTGTACTCTTATGATTGAGCGGCTCACTCTGGGCTGCCATATACCTGCATTCCCACTGGTTTCCTACTCAGTGAGCTCAATGAGGGCAAGAAGCAGATCTCTTGTTCATAGACTTATCCCCTCCTCCAGGAAGCCTTCACTCACCACTATAGTCTAGGGAAGGTGCCTCTCCTGGCCCCTCAGAGCCTGTTGTGTGTCCTCCATCCTGGGCTTGACCTCTCTGCCTGTGCCTTGCCCTGACCACTTTGCCTGAGCTTCCCAGGCTAGCCCACTCTGGGCTGTCACTGGCTACTGGTCTATCTGCTCACTGGACTAGGGGCTCCATGAGGGTAGGGCCCGAGGCTACCTCCCTCCCTCCCTGCTCTGTCCCAGCATCCCCAAAGCTGGGCACAGAAAATATATCAGTGAATATTTGTTGCGTAGATAAACAAATGAGTTTCAAAGTTGCTATCATTGTCCCTTCCATTTTACTGAGGAGGATACAGGTAATTTAGGTGAGGGGGAAAAAAGCAGGGACATGAATCTGGGCAGCTTCGATTCCATAGCCCGGGTCCTTAGCCAGCATGCCAAATGCCTAGTGAACTGAAAACCAGCTTTCCATGAAGTTGAACTCTCTGTGTTCTTTTCTCCAGACTTGTCCTTTCCTTCTAGAAAGCTTTGGGAGCTTTAAGCACGAGGGAGGAGAGCAGGCAGGAAGGTGTGGGGAGTAAGATGAGTGGGGAGATGAGGTGGGCTGGAGGATGAGGGTTGGGGCTGATGTGAAGGAGAGTGGGGAAGTCTTGAGGGGTTTCTCTAGACCCATAGGGGGCAGCCGGAGCCTGCTGCCGGAGGTGCGGGGGTGGAGAAAGGGTGGGGGACCGGCCCCGCGGGGGGCGATGCGGTTAGCTGCAGCAGCGGCCGCAGGAGTTTCCCACAATGCAGCGCGGCGCGCTGTCCCCGGTGCTGATGCTCAGCGCTGCCCCGGAGCCTCCGCCGCGCCCGCCTCCCGCCCTCTCCCCGCCGGGCCCGGGCCCCCGCCATGGGTCAGCTCGACCCAGTCCTGCCGCAGAGCCGTCTGCGGGCCTGGGCGCGGCGCTGGACAGCAGCCTGCGGGCCGCCGTGGCTTTCAAGGCTGAGGGCCAGCGCTGTTACCGAGAGAAGAAGTTCCGGGAAGCCATCGGCAAGTATCATCGGGCACTGCTGCAACTGAAGGCGGCGCAGGGGGCCCGCCCTGGAGGCCTGCCCGCCCCCGCCTCAGGGCCCACCACCAGCCCGGGGCCAGCCCGCCTCAGCGAAGAGCAGCAGCGACTGGTGGAGAACACGGAGGTGGAATGTTATGACTGTCTCACGGGTACGCGGCCACCGGGGGCGCAGGGAGTGTATGTGTGACAGGGGTGGGGAGAGAGGGGCAACCATGAAGCCTTGGACAGGGTGGGGGCCGGAGGCTTGAAGGGGCCAGGGCTGGGGTCTGTTGAGGGAGACATCAGAACTTATCAAAGAGAGGCGTTAGGGATTTAGGGGGCCAGGGATGGAAGGAGCTGGGGTGCAGAAAATGGGCTTTAGGCTGCCACCCGCGAACCTCAGGTAAGAGAAACTTACCTTGGAAGAACCATTTAAGGCCCCATTCATTACCTGAGATCGCCTTTAGTAGTATTCCCCGCGCTCCCCGCCCCCACCCCGTCCCGCCTCCCACTGAAATCGCCCCTTCGCTTGTGTCTGTGTTTCTCGCGCCCCCTAGCGGAGGCGCAGATTGATTCTATCCTGATTGGTCAGAAGCTCGGGAGTTTCTGGTGGCCTGAATAAGCCCTTAGTCCCGTCTCTAGTGAGAAAGTGTGGGTATTCCCCGCAGCCCGAGGGCCATGTTCCTCACTGTCAGTGAAGTCTGGGGTCGGGGGCAGGCTCTGAGAGCACGGTCCGGTGTCCCCGCAGCCTGCCTGCTGCAGTCGGAGCTGGTGAACTATGAGCGGGTGCGCGAGTACTGCCTCAAGGTGCTGGAGAAGCAGCAGGGGAACTTCAAGGCCACCTACCGGGCTGGCATTGCCTTCTACCACCTGGGAGACTATGCACGCGCCTTGCGCTACCTGCAGGAGGCTCGAAGCAGGGAGCCCACAGGTGAGGTGAGGGGCGGGGCGGGGCAGAGCTAGGAGAGGGGCTGGAGCAGAGGAAACCAGGGCAGGAAGGCCAGGGCTGAGTCACTTCAAGGGAGTGCTGCTCTGCCCACCCGACCTCCGCCTCTCCACCTGCTCCTACACGTCCACTCACCCTTCCTTCCTCTGTCACCCTTTCATTCTGATGCTTCCCATTCAGCCGATTCCTGATTATCTACTCCCCCCCCAACTCATTCATCCACTCCCTCCCTCACTAACCCATTCCCACACTCACCTGTTCATCCACATGTTCTCCTAGCCACCACTTGTGAACCACTTGCTGGGAGGCAGACCTCAGGATGGGAAATGCCAGGGAATTGGTGGGGGTGGGGGTGGTAAGATGGAGGGGATGGTGGACCTGCAGGCTTGTTCCCTGCCCTCTGGGGGGTCACAGTCAGGGTGCGTGGGTGTGCAGACAGATACAAAACACAACTTTGTATTAAAAGCCAATGAAAAGGAGCACAGCCGGTGGATGACGTGGGGCTGTGGGAGCGGAGGCAAGATGAGTTTTCCAGGTAAATGGCTGGGAGAGAACAGGCCTTGTGCAGATGCCATTGGGCAGTGAGGAGAGTGCCACAGGAGTCTGAGCAGAGGCAGCCCTGGCAGTGGGCAGGTGGAGCAAATGCAAAGTCTGGAGATGTGGCGTGTCCCCTTGTTCAGGCTGGGGCTCTTGGAGAAGTGCCCTGGTGACAACCAGGGAGGGAGCCGCCGAAGCTGGGGACAGTGAGGTATGAGCTGGGGTGCTACAGATGCCACCTGCTGCCCCCAATCTCCCAGCTGATGCCCTGCCCACCTACCCTGCAGACACCAATGTCCTTCGCTACATCCAGTTGACTCAACTGAAGATGAGCCGGTGCAGTCTCCAGCGGGAAGACAGTGGGGCCCGGCCTCGGAATATCATTGGCTGAAGCCCACCTAGGGGACCTGTCCCTACCCCCCCTCCCTCCCACCTCACTGTGTAACTTCCTTGACTCATGTGTCCGCTGGTAAAGCACTTATCACTGGTAATCATAACCTCTTTGTGTGATGTTCTTGTGGGAATCAGGAAGAGGCATAGACTGGGGCTTCACTTCCTGGACCTCAGAAATCCAGAGGAGTCCAGAGAGGGAGGAAGGGTCGGGGGGGTACCCCACTGGGGATGAGCCAGGATCAGGGCCTGGGCCAGGGAAAGATACAGAGCCAAGCACGGTAGGGGGCAGGGGTTACCTTTAATGCTGTTTTGTGCTGAATCCCCCATGTCACCCTGTCCCTGAGTATCCCTGCCCACCCTCCCCCTTGCAGGGCGAGCACAGGGCCCAGCCCCAGGGTACAAAGGAATAAATTAAATGTTCCCCTCCCCCCTTCCCCAATAAATAGAGTATCCTGCCCAAGGCCTCCCCTGCCTTGTGGCCTGGTGGGAGGCCTGAGGCGCTACATTCATGGCTGCCCAGGCGGGTAGCGGTGGGCAGGCCTCAGTGGGAGCCATGGGCCCCACACAGGGGCACTGTGCTGTCCTGGCTCTGCCCCTCCATGTCCATGTCAAGCAGCGTGGGCTGCATGCTGGGGGGCCCAGGGCTCTCCGGAGTACCCGGCCTGCTAGGAGGCGAGATGCTGAGTGTCCGGCCGAAGGAGACCAGTTTCCAAGGGTCCAGGCGGGGGCGGCTGGCAGCCGGCCGGGGTCTTGGGGCAAAGGTCAGGGTGGTGGGGCGACCAGGAAACTCGGGGGGCCGGCGGCGGGTAGGAAACAGGGCCTGGGGTTCAGGCAGGCGGGGGAAGTCCAGGGGATCCCGAGGGCCTGGTAAGAGAGGATCAGACGAGGTGAGTGGGGTGGGGCAGAGGGTGGTATTGAAAAGCCAGGAGCGTTGACTTGAAGATTGGAGTTTCTGACTTCTCTCAGAAATCTGCTGGAGAAAAGGCCACCTCCCTCCCAACTCTCCTGCACTGGGCTGGGGCCAGAAAGAGCGCCCAGAGTTGCAGAGAGCCTCAGGCACAGCAGCGTCTCCACGTGAGGATAATTGTCTCTCCCATGGGTGACAAATATATCAAATGATAATAATAATCGTAAAACAGTAGCTCAGTGCCTGATAGGAGGTACTCACTTCTCTGTGTTCCCATCATCTTTGTCAGGTTAAAAAAGGCACAGAGAACAGGGCCTAGAGAAAGTCACCGCCTGGCCCTGTGGGTCCCTGGGCTTGCCGCCTCCCCTTCACCCTGCGAGTCATCACCTGGGGCCCCGCAACGCCCCCAGCAGTGTGGGCCAGGGGGACACAGACCCTTCCTTTCCGTGCTAAGCAGGAAAGGCGGCCAGGCTCGGGCACTGGACCTCGGCGGGGGCAGGGAAGAAGGGGACGTTTTTGCGCACTGGGGCACAGGTTGCCTCACTCACCAGGGCCGGGGGCCGCCGACTCTGGTGCCCCCCGCTGCCCCAGCGCCCCATCCGACGGAGTCCGCCGGTGCCCGTGGCTCACAGCGCGAGTGGCTGTGACGTGGGTGGGCGTCAGCGACTGGCGGGGGTCCTTCTTGAAGCTCTCCAGCTCCAGGTCCACCAGGGGGTTTGTGCTGGGCGTGGGCGCAGGCGGGGAGGGCGGCGGGGAAGGCGCGGCCGGCGCAGCCTCGTCGCTGTCAGAGCGCAGCAGCGAGCGCGTGGAGTTGCAGTCGGACACGGAAGACAGAGACACCAGGGTGGCTGAGGGCGCCAGCCCCGGGCACACATCGTCGCGGCGGCCCGGGGAGCGCGCAGTCGGGCTGAGGCCGCGCGGGAAGCGGCCGGCGCGGGGGAAGAAGAGGCCATCCAGCCAGCGCCGCTGTTCCTCGACATCCGCGGCGCGCGCCTCGGCCACGTCAGCGCCCAGGCCCACGGCGCCCAGCAGCGTGGCGCAGCTCAGCAGCGCGAATTCGCAGCGCCGCCTGGCACTGAGCCCATGTCGGGTGCAGGGCCCCGGCACCCCCGGAGAGGGCTCGGTGGGCAGTGGCACCACGAGGTAGGCCGGGGTGCTGTGGGGAGAGGGGGCCCCGCTGCTGCCTCCGTCTGCCTCCGCGAACTCCTCTGCAACCGGAGAGGGCCGGCACTCGACTCCAGGCGGTCCCTGGGGACTTGGTGGCAAGAGGCTGCCCCCAATGACCCCTCCAACAGCAAGACCACCAAGTCTACTAAGCATAGCGTCCCCCTAAAGCCCCCTGCCCCTGGGAGTGATGCCCACACCCCCCTTTCTGGGAATGCTTTCTGCCCCCTGGCCCAGTGACATCCGGTTCCCTCCCCACAACCCTGGGGAACCGTAACCGCTTTATCTCGACTTAGGGTCCCCTTCAGCCGGGAATGTCTCCTCCCCTTCCCTTCGAAGGCACCCTTATCCTCTTACCCATCTCATTGAGGCTGGCGAAGCCTGGGGCAATGGGGGTGTGTTTGGGGGACTTGCCCAGGTTGGGGGCGCTTGATGACCACTGTTTGTTTCCTTCCCCCAGGGCCTTCAGCCTGCAGGGGAACCAGAGATGCGGGGAGTGGCCCTGGGCCTTCTGAGGGCGGCCGGCCTGGGGGTGGGGCACAGGGTGGGCTCCAGCGACCAATACCTCTCCTCTCCTCCAGCGCGCTCCTTCTGCAGGGTGGAGCTGGGTCCCCACGTCCGGCCTTTCTTCTTGCCCCCAACCAGTTCTTCCTTCTTTGGGGGCCCGCTGCGGCCCCACGTCCCACTGCCACCACTGCTGCTGCCACTGCTGCTGCCGCCACCACCACCATCCACGGGAGTCACTGGGCCAAGAGAAGCCACTTGGTTACTGTGCTGGACTCCCAACTTCACTCTCCTTACCTCGGATTCATCCTCTGCCTGGAAGCCCGAACTTGAATCATGACCCTCTGTGCCCTAAATCCTCCCACAGCTCCCCAGGACTGTCAGGGGACTGTCTCAGCGCCTCAGCTTGGCATACGAAGCCCTGCAGATGCTATTCCCAGCTGAGCTCCTCAGCTCTATTTCCATCACACCGCACAGCCTCACCCTTCAACCATCCACTCATTCCCAGACGTTTACTGAGCACCTGTTGCCCGCCCCAGGGCAAATGCTGAGAAGACAGTGGTGGGTGAAGCAGACAGGACGCCCCGCCCACAGCGTGGGCATCTAAGTGGGCGAAGACAGATGACCAACGAGACCTGCACTGGGCGAGTCATCCATGCAGCGTGACAGGGCGGCACACGCTGTGGGAAACAGGAAGCAGGAAAGGGACCTGGTGGCTAGGCAAGTCTTCTCGTGGGCAAGGATGAGGCGGTGCGGGGGTGTCAAGAAGATACAAAGGGAGCCCTGGCTGGCGTAGCTCAGTGGATTGAGCGCGGGCTGCGAACCAAAGTGTCCCAGGTTTGATTCCCAGTCAGGGCACATGCCTGGGTTGCAGGCCATGACCCCCAGCAACCACACATTGATGTTTCTCTCTCTCTCTCCCTCCCTCCCTTCCCTCTCTAAAAATAAATAAATAAATAAAATCTTAAGGAAAAAAAAAAAAGAAGATACAAAGGGAGAGGAGCACTTGGGGTGGGGGGGACAGCAAACTCGAAGGCCCCGGGGCTGGACCACAGGGAGTGTGCCCAGACAACTGGGAGGCCGGTGAGTATGTGTGTGTGCATGTGTGTGGGGGGGGGCAGCTAGAGTCAGGTACTCAGGCAGAGGGCGTTAAGTGCCACAGCTGGAACCCCACGTCTACAGCATTCCGGTGGGTGTTTTCACACCTCTGTGTCTTTGCACAGGCTGTTCCCTTCCACTGGAATTCTGCTCTTTTTCAGTCCCTTTCCTGACCTGGTTGGCTGCTTGCCCTTCAAGTCTCCAGCTCCAGAGTAGTTTGTTCCCTGGAGGGTCATTGCCTGTCTTCCCTGTTCCTACAGCACATGGAAGGCACCCTGATACCAGAATACTGATTCCACCACACAGCCGTTCGTATCTTTGTGTCCGCCAGGAGAATGACCTCCAGGCCTGGTACAAAGCAGGTGCCCGAACAGAGGCGTGCAGGGCCAGTGTGCGGTGCAAGGCTGGGGTGAGTGACGGGGCAGAACGGACTTGGGATTCAGCCCCGTATCCTTCAACTTTTCAGCACATGGCCATGGCTGCACCCTTGCCAGGCAGCCCCCACCGCAGCCACCTCCCTCCAAGGCCCGGCCCTGGCCCAGCCCCCATCCCCTCCCTTGTCTCACGCCCTAACTTCCGTCCTCCTACCACCCACATTTCCCACAGCAGCCAGAGGGAAAAGATGTGTTTTATCATGTCACTGCCTTGCTCACAGCCCTCCAGGGCTGCCCTGTCACCTTTAAAATAAGATCTAGGTCCCTTATCCCGGCTCTCAAGGCCCAGCGTGATCTGACCACTGTTGAACCTCTGACCACAGACCAGCCGCTCTGCATCCCATCTGCTCTCCAGCCAAGTGGCCTTTTGGGCTGACACTCACGCAGCGCCTGTTCCCGCCTGGGGACTTGCCTTTGCTGATCCCTCTGCCCGGGGCCCTCTCCCTCAGACCTCTGCAAGCCTCGCTCGCTCGCTCGCTCAGAGGCCCTGCTCAATCCCCTCGCCTCAGACAGGCCTTCCCCATGGAAAGCAGAAACTCTTCTCTTTGGTTTCCTTCCCTGATTCCTTTACAGCGCTCAGCCCTGCAAGAAGCTACCCTGCCTGCTTGCTGACGTATTCCTAGTCTCTGCCCCATGAGAACCAGGGAGGGGGCTCTGCCTGTCTTGTTCCCTGCTGATCCTCTGGTCTGGCGCACCGCACGTGCTCAGGGAAGTGTGCTGACTGGGGGACTGGTCCGGGCCTCGGGAGACACTCACGGCGGATGGCCCTCAGCCGGGGGATGATGCTGGGGCTCGCGGGGGGACTGGCTCCATCGGATCCTTTCCGCTTGTCCAGAGTTGGAGAGGCCTGGACTGTGATCTTATGCTCGAAGCCTGCAAAACAGAGAGATTCCCTTCAGCAAGCGGTTGCATAGGCCACGAGAACATCTCCCTGCATGGAAGGGCCATCCCCTCCCCCTCCAGAAGGACAGACAGGCCA